CTAAGCCATGGACAGATATATATATATATATATATATATATAATGACAGGTGTTACTGTAACAGAATTGCTGACCAACAGAGAAATTACTGGAACAAGTCTATCACAAATATCAATGAAAGTGTAAAGTCAGCAAAATTGGGGCCAATGGGGGAAAGAATAAACTACAGGCAGATTTTTTGTTTGGAAGGGAATGACAATGGTATTTCTTCTGGTGGAAGGAATTTCAAGGAGAACTTACCATATTGGTTGACATTATTTTTGACAAATATTTAACCAGACTTTTCGGTGATATTAGTTTTCTGGAGTCTTAGCCAGCTGACAAAAGTAACTGGATTAGGAGAAGTACCCAATTACAACCAGTAATTGTGCTTTAAAGCTCTAAACGGATGACAGTTTTGCAAATTCTTCAAAGGGGGGGATTTTACTAATGGTGTCCCAACACCACTGGCATAAAAGGTGACAGCTTTTCTATTTCAGTTTTCCTTTTAAACCAGCAACAGTCTCATACAATGTTTGCTGTGTTGTGAAGATCCACAGTGAAGAAAAAATAACCTTACTTAGGATGTGATAGATATGTTCCTTCCAAGTCTGAGAATATTTTATTCATTCAAAAGAAGTGCTATGTATAACCAGAACATGAAACAGTTTTTCCACTTGTGTTTTCAGTCATTTGGATAAGATCAGAACAGTCAAAGGTTTTGAGAGAAAAGGGAACTAAACAATGTTTTCCCCTAAGCCAATTCTTTTGGGTCAACATGATGATCTATAAACCAGTACTACTACCATCACTAGCAAAAAGGAAAGAAGATAAAGAGAACAGAGGATTCACAGGTTGCTGCATGTGCTAGGAAATCACATCCCATACACCTGTAGTGTCTCAGGAACTACCCTAGGAAGGAATCCTCGCCCCTAGAAGTATCATCTAACCTGTCCTTCAAACACCAACAACTTGAACATTCTGTGTGTACTCCCATATGACCTAGAGGGGTTATATTAAAAGGGAAACGTGTGTTGGTGCTTGCACAGGATGGCAAAAGCATCCTGTAATTTAAAGGAGTCTGCTATCAGATTTTCTTGCAGACTCGTCTGTTGCTTTTAACCTTGACACTTTGATGTTAAACTGGTTTTAAAAGCCACACAAGGGATTTGTAAGAGTTTAAATGAGCAGACACCTCTCTGGCTGAGACTGACTAGCTGGCAATCCCTGCAGCCCAAATGGGGGATTTGAATGACAAGCCAGGGAAATCTGAGGAAGACTTTCAGTGGCAGACTGACAATGAGCTGATCTAGGAGCAAACACAGAAGCCTCAAGAAAGCTAGGTTAAGAAGAGGAAGCTTACTGAAAAACTCTTGCAGAGCTGCCAAGGCTTCTAAGGCTTATGATGCCTGGCAGCAGGTGACTGGACTGAAATCTTTCCATATGGACTGGAGACCAGAGGGACCGGGGGCATCAAGAGCCACGGTTCTGTTTAGCAGCTCACTGACGACAAAGTATTGAGATAAAGAGAGAGATATCAACCACAATGCAAACCTGGCCAGTAGTGTTAGAAGATAGGGCCCACAGCCTTTTCTCAGCTGCCATCAGTTACTTACTTATCCACAGCTGGGAAATATCTGAGAAGTGCATTAACCTCTCACCCTGAGACAAAATGTTTACCATAACAACAGACATGAATTTGATCAGAGAAGTCTGAAAAAGAGTACCAAAATATCTGAGCTGTTAGTTTTGCATGAAATTATCAATAAGAAAACTCTTTCTACAGTTCAGGAACATTAGGAAAATTGTTATGTTAAGTGTTCCCTCCAAGTAAAACATGCTTTTTGCACCCTAATGCTTTACTTGATTAATTCTGACTTAACATGCTCTAGCAGGTTCACCAAGGCCTGAGAAAACTGTATCATATACTGAAATTTTTCTCAGAGAGAGAGGGAGGACAGCAGACAGTGCTCATACATCATCACAGAAAAGAGATGAAACAGATAAAATGTACCAGCAGCTGATGACATGTGCTCTTCCCAATGAAACAATGCAAGTATCAGCTGGACCCCAAACAGAGGACTCCAGCAGCTCCTGCAGCAAAGTGTTGCCCACTAGAAATGCACCTATTTGTGCAGCATACACTATGCTGCATACATGTGGCAATGGAAAATGCTGTAAGATTGGCATAATCTTTGGAGGAGAACAGTTTTTTCAGTCTAAAAGATATCTGTTTGAAAAAAACATCATTCATTACTTACAATTCCCTGGCCTACATTATTCTGGTTCCATCCCATATGAGGTAAAAATCTCCTAGAACACCACATTATTATCTGAAGTACTGGAAATATAGTAAACAATTCAACACACTAATCAACAATGTGCAACCAAGTTATTGTAGATCAAATCAACAATTCTAGTAGTAGTAGAACTTGGAAATACTCTAACGAGTGAAACAACAGAACTACGCTTTCTCCACAGAGCAGTCTTAAAACCTAAATTAAAACAACAGCTTCAGAGACAGATGTATATGTTGGGATAAGTTTTCTAGCAAATTATTTTCAAAGCTCCAAACAATATACTATTTTTCACTTTATGTCTCATGTCCTTTTAAATATTGCCACTGCTCTTCTCTTGCTAATGTAATTCAAAAACTTGAAATTGCTATACTACTAGAATTTTCTGAATCCTGAGCAATGCCTACTACCTCCTTATATGTTTGTTCCAAACAGAATCCTCAAACTCTAGATATAATTAAATATAATTACCAACTTCATACTTTCAAGCAACAGGGTTCTTCCCCTCCTGTAGAAATATTTCCTGAAAATGTTAATACTAAGAGAGTTCAAGATTAGAGATACAGGCCATGATGGTGTGAAGGTAAATAACTTTTACTGTCATATATTCTATTCATCTTTTCCCACAAGCATAAAAATAAAAAGTTCCAATATGTTTTCCATCTTTCCATAGAAAACCCGGGATTTTTTTCATTACTCACTGAACTTCAGAGGTTTTGACTGAACTTTCAGAGGCTTTCACTGAACTTTCAGAGGCTTTGACATTAGGTATGTAAAGATTAACACGATTTTATGTAGGAAAGTTTTTTAAAAGTCACTTAAGGTATCTTTCCCAGCAGGAGAAAAAAAAAATTATTGAATCACTTGGTTTAATGCTGTAGAGATTATATACTAGATATTAATTTCAGATTTTTTTTCAACTTTTCTGTTTTTTACAATTTACAAGAAAGACTCTTCTTTCCTTAGCTAAGCATGACACATGCTGATAGATATGATAAAACTTTCTGTACTCACTTTTTCTGAAGGATTTCATTTATGTCAGCAAAATATTAATTGGTATTATCCCATGGTATTCACTTCCTACTTGCACCACTGATCAAGAAAATGACATGACTCCACAAAGAGTCTAAAAGTTTCAATGACAAAGATTTTCTTTCCATTTCAATTCAATTGACAAGCGTATGAATATAACATAGATCTTACTCTACAGATAGTTTCAGCTGATATTTGTATTGCAAATTTGTCCTTATTCCATATGGGATATGAGCATGATGGAGAAGAAACTGTGTTTATCAGGATTTCTTTCACACAGTTTGTCTATGAAGCTCCACTTCTTACAGTGATACAAATGATAGAACTATTAATGTCAAGTGGCTAAAAAAGTCTCAAGGGATAAAACAGAGATACTGCTCAAGCAAACTGGCTGTTCATATTATACAAATACCTGCTTACAAATGTAATGTGAATATATATCATGGGAGGACTACATTAATAATATATTAAGTTATTTATAACTACTCTTTAAGAAGCTAAAAACAATGGCAACCACATTACTAGTATTTATAGTAAGTATTCATGCTGTCAGATGGATTTTGAATAATGTCCCAGACTGGGACACAGCATTGTAGATCTTGGCTCAGATTCCTGGAGTGATAAACTGGGAGATGTGCAGAGCAGTTAAACATATTCACAGTTCCTGCATCCAAACCTGGTTCTCAATGAGATTAACTGACCCGTTAGCACAACCAGTGCTAACGGGAATTCAATGAGTGAATTCAACTTTTTAAAGTATCTTTTCTTCATTACAGAAAGCCAAGTCTCCAAATCAGGTCTGGCTTCCCCTCTGTCATTCTAGCAAGAACCTTTTGTATAGCTAAGAAATCAGCAAGCAAAAGTGTTCTGTAATACCTATTTTCTTGATTTTGATTAAAATAAATTCAAATATGTTTCTACCATTTGTTCAAGACAAAATGTTCAGTCATCATTATCCAGTTCTTTACTTGCGAGTATGGAAACCCTCACTCTTCCAGGCAGAGACAACAGCTGCCAGCAGCCGATACTGCTAGCTTTAACTGTTTTCAGGGTTTCTTTATACAGCCCTGCAGATTACACCCATGTAAGCAGATTACCTTGATTATTTCAGAAATATCAGATGTTACATTTCTATATGTGGAATGAGTTTGAGAGACACTGATAGCAACCAAGAGTCAATGATACACAGTCCTTTAAATTTAAACTTAATGGCTGGCATCTCCATGCACAGTGATAGCTGAATCCAAAGCATTTTATATAAGTGTTGTTAAAAAGGAATTATGTGTTGATTCAAACAACATAATGTTATATTGCCTTGTGTAATTTTACTTGCAAAATGTTTTAATGACAGTTCCTATGACAATAATCTACCACTTCTTGACATATTACAACAGTTCAGTAAATATTTCAAAATAGGTAAAATATTTTACACTTTCACAGTGCCACTATGTCAAATATGTTCCAGAGTTCACCAGATACTCGGTATACCTTACTCTTCCTAAAAGGTTTATGGAACAAGATCCCATGTAGTAAAGGAGATCGTGTAAGACCAACACAGAAATGTCCCCAGAGCTATGGAAAGAAACACAGATGTGTTTTTTCCATGCTGTCAGCATATATGTATGCATGACAGAAGTATACAGTTCACCTTTACAGACAGGCAGTGTATTAAGAGAATACCTCTGAATACCTAAATGTAGTTTCAGCACAGTACATAGTATATGTTTTCATATGGAGTACATCCATAATTAGTCAAAAATAGCCTGATTTATCTAGCGTTAAATTATAATAACCTAAAATAGGGAAACTATTTTTATGGTTACAGTGTGCAGAGAAAGCCAGATGACATGAAAGGTGTCATAATTATGTAGACTGTTTTACTGCATTTTCAGCAGACACAGCTAGACTGTCACAGCATTTTTGTGTCAAATGCTTATACTTTTACTCTTTTGGCAAAGTTGCTTAAAAAAGCTTTGGCAAATTGTTTTTCGAAATCCTTTATCCTGATTGTAGTCCTAATGGCAGTCATTCCTCATAGAATTTGGTCAGGTTCAGATCCCTCTGTGAGATGCATTCTGCCTTCAACTGTGGTGCTTTGCAATTGGAGAGACAAGAGTATTCTGCATTAAAAACTAAACCCAGGTTGACCCCCAGCTAGGTCAAGGAGGAGTCAGGCAGAGAAGAGGGGGATACAGAAAACTGCTGGCTTGAATTTTACTTCTTTTTTAATCTTGTTCTTCAAATCATGCTGGTTTCCCATGTTAGTACTGCATTGAAAAAATTTCCAATTTTCTGCCCTTTCATCTTTGTTTAATATATACAAAAATAAACTTAAATTTAAAAATCAATTAGGCAAAAGTAAGGTTTGTTAATGGGTGTTGTCCATAGTGTTAGCTCAGGTTCAAGTTCGAATGTGAACACAGTCATCAGGATTATCCAATATTTTCAGACACAGATTCAAGCTCTACCTCCAGTATGGACCAGACCAATTAACTAAGTAGGCAGTGAAATCTGGCAGAGTAAAAAAAGTGAAATTTTAACTCAAATTCTCTATCACATGAGCCACATGGCACAGAAAGTGACCCATGGCTCTCACCCAGGAATGTCTAAACAGCCTGTGTATTTTCCTTTTCAGAAGCCAAGGCTCCAGGCCTAGATTTACCCTGCCTCCAGAAATGCCCTCTTTTCCAGCAGATTATCCAAACAGGAATGATTCTCATCTACACTGTGTTGCTTTAATCCCTACACTTGTTTCTGCTTATCTCATGAGCCCTCCGCAGAAATATCATGGAACCTACCACATCCTTAACCACAGCAGTCCAACCTAAAGGCCTAAGAACTCACATCTCATCTCAATGCATCTCTTTTTCTTTCCCCATCATCTTGTGGATGTTAATTCTCCAGGCATACACATTTTCTAAATCCACCACTCTCCTTACATAAATTCTGAATTTCATTGCTTAGCCATCCCCCCCAAAGTCTGTAACTTGACTCTTCCATTATAATTCAACTTACCTCTCTTCCATGAATGCCTTCTGGTCCTGGTTCTCCTTTATCTCCTTTTTCACCCTAAAATAATGAATATTTAGTTTATTATATACACAAGACAAATACAAACCCGTGACACTTTTTAACAGGAAAAATATTTTAAGATTCTGGTCTGTTCCACAAAAAGTACTACATATACATTGCTGGCTGAACAAGCAAAACTATTTCTTACATTCCAACATAAATTCTTTCCAAAGAAATGCCTCTGAAACACGTCTGGTGCTCTGAGAGCTATAGTTCTCTGTACTTTACAGTGTCAGTGAACATCCATAAAGACTCACCACAGAAAAATATTCTTGGTTCTCACAGTGCTCTGAGAACATAGTGGTAAAACAGAAACTTACACCGGGGAACAGTTTTCCTCTTGAAAATCTTAACACTGACATTAAATTAATTACTTTCATTCAGAGACCAGTTTTTAATAAACAGTTCTTGTTTTAAATATCTGATAACAAAACTGTCCTCAGTATTATCACTTGTCTTTGACTCATACTGGTATATGGTTCACTGACTGCATTTGAAAAATTGAAACAATTTTTGTTCTGAAAATTTTCTCACAAGTATGAACAATGTTATAAATCAAAAGAAAAAAATGGTGGGAAGGATCCTTCCAAACTGACTCATTCCTCTGTTTACTCATGAAACACTGACTAAAACCCACAATATTCTTTCTAGGGTACATGAAAGGATTCAGTTCTGTATTATCTCTAACTACCACGCTATTCTAGTTAACACATATTTCATCAAAATGAACAAAATACACCTGTTTAAGAAGCATAATTTAAGGGAGAATGTCTTCCAGAATGAACAAGTCTAAACAGCTCTATAATTGCATCTCTGTCACTAGACTGAAGTTTGTCAAATCATAAAAGTAACGTAATTCTGAGGACTAACTTTACTAGAGTCAGGCTCTTCATATCGATCAAAGAAACTGAACAGCCCTGCACTGAATTTCCAGTATCTCCAGGGGACCACATTTGTCTGAGCAGAACCTATTAATTATGTCAGCATCATCTTCATAATTCTGTTAGGTAAATGGTACTGAACTGAGATCATTCAGCTAACTCCATTTGTGACACAGCCCTGATTCAGAGCTATTTCTCCAGTGGCAATGACAGAGGGCATTTCATCTAATAATCAGTTTTGCAAAGCGAATTTCTGTGAACTTTCTCAAACAACTGAAACCTACTAACAAATCAGCAACAACAAACTGTGAATTTAATAATCCCATGCACAAGATGGCTTCTTTAGTTCATCTTTTCCATTTTAATACATCTTGCTGATAACAAACAATGCTACACATTAGCCTGTATCATACTGGTTTTTTTCCTCAAGTATTGCCCTTCTTGCTTTTCAAACCCTGGACTCCCCAACCCAGATAAATCTATGCATTTATTGCTAAAGTAGTTACAAGAATTTAATGCTGCTTATTTTAGTAAGTTAAACTATAAAATCCTTTTTGTTCTATGGATTAAGGCCCTGGTTGAGATAGTAATTTTCTTTCACTGTCAGTTTTTAAAAATAACAGTCAAAGTCCCAAACTTACTACTCTTTTTTAAATAGCTCACTTAAACTTTTAGAAGAAACTGTCAAAATGACATTTTACTTTTCATCACTGTGACACACCGGACATTTAATACTGCTTTCATGATCTTTTGACTAATACTAGTTACATTGCTGGTAGCATGAGCTACAAAGCCACACACTTGACATTATATCTCCTTATCTGAATATATTTCTAGAAGATTTAAAACTACCTCCAATTTATGGAGCTGTTTTTTATTCTATGACTTGTTTATCTGCTTTCACACTTTAAGAGAAAATGATATAAATATGAACAGATTTGCTTCAGAAGTAGTAGAATCCTGTAAATTCCTTGATTTATAGGTGGAAACCTAAGGTAAAAGTATCTTGTCATAATTTTTTATGCAACACAGAATCCTGTAAATTCCTTGATTTATAGGTAGAAACCTAAGGTAAAAGTATCTTGTCATAATTTTTTATGCAACACCTTCATTTACATAAAAACCTAGACAGAGAGCCTAAGCTAAACGACCCTCCCGTCACCCTCACATATCATTTGCCTTCATGTTAGGTGAGCAGCATGTGTTGGAGACCATGCCTTTTTCTTCTACAGCAGGCAGACGGTAACTTTAAAATGCCAGTGGGCAGTTCTAGACACATACAAGTGTGGTTGTTGAATGTAGAGAAGAAAGAAAAACTCTGCTCCTTATGATTTACAAGATATTCAGATTTAAGATGTTTGTCAGTTTCTTAGATGAAATGATGAAAAGCATCCCCTGTCAATGAGCCTTGGACCTCTGCAGAGTCCCTGGCTTTCTGCCAGGTATGTGATTCTACTATGAACATATTCTGACTTTTTAATGGAGTAAATGATTTGTCCTTGCCAAGCCTGCTGTATGGAATGTCTGTGCCCTCTGTGAAGCCAGAATTCAAACAAAACAGAGGTCCAATTTTTACAATTTATTCTCATGAGAACTGAGCCAAGTCACGCTCATTTCTGCCTTTATGGAGTGCACTATACTGCATAATTAACAGCTTCAAAACTAGCCAATTAGCAGAATCTCTGAAGCCATTCTGCAGTGTAGAGGCTGTTAATAATCAACATTGTGGCTTACCTCATAGATTAACAAAAAAGAGAGAAAAATGTGTTAATGTTGTTTCTTATCTAATCTTCCTGCCTGCTTATACTATATTCAGATGAGACAATTAAAGACTATTTATTCTAAAAAACAGGATGACAAAACTGTGGAAGTGCCATGCCTTGTTTATTAGTTAACTAAAATTAATCCAATATAACACTGAGTTATTTGTATTTCTTTGGGTGCGTTCTGCTTTCAATTACCCCAATGGAACAAGCTGAGGGGTTTGCTCTGGTACAACTGCCGGGATGGATTCAGTCTGCTGTGTGTAATAGCGGATACACTGAATTCAGTGATAACGTTCTTTAATTAGAGCCAGGGGTTCACACATGGCCCCTGCAAGACAAGAGTACCAGCCTTCAACACACTTATCCAACTAAGAGGCTACCTCATTTTCCTTGCATGCTACTTTCTCATTGTAAAGGCAAAGTAATGGATCTGGAAATAAAATACATTCCTACCTAAAAATTACCTAAAAAGGTAAGGTCTTTTTTGCAGCGCTCACTTGTTAATGGTTCTAATAATGAATTCCTGATATCCTTTGTTCCAAGCATTTTGAAGTACCATTGTTAACAGTAGCTGAAATACTGTCCAAAGTATGCAAGCTATACAGTAACACTCAGTGTGGATAACTTACCATTTTTAACATCTGAAACTGTGATTTTTACCATACATATCTTTAAGACAACTATGCCTTTTTTTGTTGTTGTTTTTGGTTTTTTTAAACTCACTCTTCTGTGTTTTGCTACAGCTCTGTCTCAGCAGAATACTCTAAATACTCTATGTGAATTTTCTCGCAATCATTTCTCCACAGTTTCTTTTAAACTGAAACTAGCTCATAGTAATGCTTATTGATTTTTCCTAAATAAATTATGAATTTAAAAAAGTCAGCATCTTTGGTTCAAAAATACCCTATGGCTCTTTTGGCTTTTGCTGACAGATGTCTGGAGAGCCGGGGTTAGGAAGGGCTCCATCCCAATAACATTCTTATTGACTGACCTGTAACCCTTCTGCAGAATGTGGGATAGTATACTTCAGGAAAGCAGCAATACTCAGAGTGAAGCACCTGAGGATTGCTGAGACACTATATCATTTAAAAGAAGTGGAAATCAGGGCAGATTAATGATCTTGAGTGACACAAGAAGATTATTTCCTAACAGGCTCTAACCCTGTATCACATCAGACTATTACCTAAGCAGGGTCAGAAAGAGACAGCATAAACCACTGCAGAAATATACTCCTAGTTCTAGTAAATTAAATTCAACAGTAATGTCCTGGAAGGATGTCACCATGAACCCTGTGTCTTCCCAAACCCAACTATTTAGGATACTTAGATACTGCAGGAAAGCAGGTGATCACAAAGTTTGATAGGCATCATGAATTCAGAGAGCTCAGTAGATACACTCATCAAGAAACTGTGACCGAAAAAACCCTCTAATTCCAAACTGTGCCATCGCTGTCTTCTGAAAGAACCCCAAACAGGTGTCAAGCCTGACCAAGCTGGATAACATGTCAGGAGAAAGCTCTTTCCTTCCTGCTTCACTTACACAGACTGAGCAATACTGAAGATGTTCCCACTGGCTAACTACTGCTTAGTGTCGCGCATCACGCTTTTAAGCAAGCTCTAAGCATTTCTAAGATGGTGAGCCTATATAAAGGCAAACTACCAACTCAACGCAGTCCAAAATCTGAGGCACAGAATGACCTGAAGCCAGGCCAGCCTGGCTCCAAAACTGCACTGATGAACTGCCTTTTCCTGTCAGCAGGAATGAGGAAGCCATTCATTTTTATTCTTTGTAGAAAACCCTTAAAATGCAAAATGACTTTCATCAATCAGAACAACTATCAAAAAAAATCCAGTCTAATAAATGTTACAGTGTAGTGCTCTCCAAATGGAGAAATCAGATGAACAAATATCAAGTAAAGAATAATCCCTGTAGCACTACTGCAGAAAAGGATCTGGGGATTATCATGGATCACAGAGTGAGCAGGACTGTAACACAAAGCTATTTTTAAAAGGCTAAACTCCATTCTCCATTTGCTCATTGCAAATTGGAAAAAAACAAGTATTCTGGTTTACTTGCCACTGATAAGAACAGTGAAAAACAGCATCTAGGTTAGGGCATCATATTTTTCATGGAACTTTGTCAGCTTTTAGGTATCTGCTCTTCCCCAAATCAGAATGATAGCAAGTTTGAAAAAAAAAAAAAATCAAATTTAGGAGGAAAGAGTGAACATGGGGCACACTGATGAATCTCAAATATGCAAAAGAATGCTATAAACAGGACAGTAAGCTTCCCATAGTAATTATACAAAAACTGGGTTTCATTTGTAGCCAAAAGGATTTAGATTTGGGGG